GCTGCTTATTGCCTATGTAGCTGGAACTTGAAGTCAGTTGGGAAAAATCAGAGGTAACATGGTCTATTGCACCAGAATCCATGTACCAAGCAGTGTCTTGGACTGAGGATGGAGTAGCAATGTAATTGATTGCTGCAGGAGGTTGACTATGATTCTGTGACTGAGCCATGAAGGCTTGATTATGCATTTGTGAAGTACCAGAATTAGTGTCCAAACAACCTGAAGAATGCCAACAGCTGAGGGAGACGGTGACTGGAAATTATTTTGAAGCTGCATTGAGGGGACTGTATTAACACTCTGTGAGTAGTGTTGAGAAGGAAAAGAAGTATAATGTCTTCCATAGTTAGGGTCAGGTGGCCTTGAAAATACTCTAGGATTAAAGTTGCTCCTAATTAGGGAGTTGTGCCCAGTAAAATTCACATCGAAGCGATGGTAACAGTTTAAAGCCAAGTGACCTATTTTCCCACACACTTGGCATATGATTCTATTTCTACCTCCTGCACGACCTTTGCCTCTGCCACCGGTATAGTTTCCAGAAAAATGTGGTGTGAAAAACTGAGTTTGTTGGGGTGTGTATATAGGTGAGCTCTGTGTATTTGGAAAATAGGATAAACTAAGACTTGGAGACTGTGATATAGGTGAGGATTGGTTGTTATATTGAGTAACACTACCCTGAAGTTGGGATGAAGTCTGTCCAGACAGTAATTTTTTTGCATCATTATCAGTAGACAAATTAGCAATATTTGCTGAGCTACTATGAAATTCAGCATGTACCATAGAATTCATTGCACTATTTGCCTTTTCCAACCGTAATTCAAACTTCTACAAAACAATATGTGTTTCTTGAACTGTTATAGGATCAACTCTGGATTCAAGCCTAGTGGTAACATTTACTACTGCTGCATCATATTCAGAATCAAGTCCGTCTAATATGTAGTTTATCAGTTCATCGTCAGAAATAACAACACCACTGGCAGACAAAATTTCAGCATATCCTTTCATCTTTAGAAAATAGTCATGCATACTTATACTTTCTTTCTTTGTATTTTGCAAAAGACTTCTAACATGTAGTGTTTTTACTCTAGACTCAGTTAAAAACTCCTTTTCTAGATTAAGCCAGATATCATTGGCAGTTTGACATTTCGATATTACAGAGAACATTGCCTCTGAAATTGAAGACAATAACCAGCTCATTAACAGTTTATCTGTTTTCTTCCAAAGAGTAAACTCTGAGTTATGTTTTGTTGTTACCTCTAAATTTGAGTTGTCTAGTTGAACTCTAATGAACGGAGCTAGACATGAAATTAGTCCCGTTAGGTGTTCTTCGAGATCATGAGCTCCTACGGTAAAAAGAATTTGCGATTTCCATAATCGGTGGTTATCGCGCGTTAGTTTTGGTGAAATCACAGGAAGCATAGATGAAGCAACTGATGAATGATTAGTGAAATTGATTGTGTCGAAGATCTCCTTAGAGCTTGAATTCTTGTTTGATTTATCAAGAGAGGATGGATTTGAAGAGGAATCAGCCATTTCCGACATTAGTCAGTGGCTCTGATACCAAGTTGCGAAAGTAGAATTACAAAAAAAAAAAAAAACTTAGCAGAAAAATCAAAGTAGAGTGTAAAACGTGTGAGCTAAAACTTTACTCTTTTCTTACTAAGATATTTTACATGAGTTCACTTATATAGGGTGAACAGTGAACAAAGTAAAAGTCAAAGTTTACACGGTAAGTCAGCTAAGTAAAACAGACCCTGTTTTTACTTAAAACAAACTGCATGAGCTTTACTTAAACGAACTGCATGAGCACGACCTGCATGAGTTGAATGAGTAAAATAAGCCTAGCTCATTTTCAGTCTATCCTAACAAAGAATAATAGAATCAAGTTGCAGAGTTAGTTCGGCAACGGCTGTAACAAAAATCCATCAAGTTGCAGGGAATCAACGGCCGTGACAAGAATCCAGTTGTAACAGAATCAAGTTGCAGAGTCAAGTTGCAGAATCAAGTTGCAGAATCAAGTTGATAGTAACAGTTGTAACTGATCGGTTTGCCAACGTAAGTGGTGAGGTGAGTAGTTAATACAAGTTGCACTTTGTAACCTATGCATGTTATAACTGACGCAGCACATGCAGTACATGCACGTACCTTTGCACCGTAATAACCATTAATTCCAAATTATGTACACATGAGAAAAAAATATGATGTAGAAGTACTGTCTATATAGTTTTAACTTACCTTTCCCCTTCAATACTGAAATCAAAACCATTTGAAGCATAACAAAAAATGCAAATAGATTGAAAAGTCTAGGAATGAAAGTTCACAAAGGTGGAACCTGATTGAGATTGAGTGATGTTGATTCTCCTCCATTATAGTCATTCCTATCCATGTGCAGGGCTTGAATAACAAGACATTGAAAAGAACATCAAAACGACGAACTAAAGACAATGCATGAAATGCAAGCTTTTACGCAAAGCAAGAAGCGAGAGAGATATAAATTATAAACTACCACACACAACTCTTACAAGTGCACAACATACAACACAGCCCAGACAAAATCTAATCCAATAGAAGTTACCAAAAATTTTAACAAAAACCAATCACTTAAGTGCATCTTGACACCCCTTCTAGCTGATATACTTTCTAGTGCAACTTCATCACTTTTAACGCCTCACTATCCACCATCCCCTCATAAGACAGAAATGCGGCCAAGGTAATCAATTGACTGTATTTTGAATCCAGTATCTGACAACCTTAACTAATCTTTTAAACTTTAAAATCAACAGCCAACAAAAAAGCATACGATCAATTCTAACTGTCCCACCTAACAGAAAAATATCATCTGCCACAAAATCCCACAACCTCATCGACAAAACTCAAGTTCAAAACTTGAGACACCGCAAAACTCTACAATCTTCGAAATCGAAAGGAAATCATGGCTTTATCCCTCGGAAATTATCAGCTAACCAACAATCCATGAAATTATCCAGAACGAAAATCTTAATCATCTACTTAGTTTTTCAACTGATGATTAGTTTAAAAGCAAGTCCCACATAGATCTTTATCACAAACCAAACTAACAAATCCCCCAAATGAATCAATCAATCAGATCAAACAACACAGACAGATCCATCGGATCAGAAGCAAAACAAAACAAACCCAGATACAAATTTGAAATCAAAATCAAACCCAGATAGAAAAACCAATAAAGATCAAAGAAGCAATCACCACCCAGATGAAATCTGGACAAAAAAAAATGACCCAGAAGTGAAAAATTGACCTTGAGACCATCAACGGAGAGGAGGCCACTGAGGATGCATTCTTTGAGGCCAGTGCCCAAACTATGACATCATACTCTTCATCCATGGTAAGATGATGGGTTGATTTTGATTCAGATAAATGACAGTGATGAGTTGAGGGTTTTCTGGTGCCGAGTCAGGATGGAGGTGGATATATATTAGAAGAGTAATACTAGTGACGCATATAAAAAGCTAAATCAAACGTTGAAAAAAAAAGGAAAAAAAAGAGAGAAAAAAAGGTAATCATATATTTCAAAGAATGAATTTGACTTTTTATACCATTCTTTATATGATTATTTGTATACCTCTGTGAGTCTAATAAAAAGTAATGGGTAATGATATGTTTATTCACCATCTTATTATCCTTTGAAAATATAACACATAATACAAGTATCATATGTATAATATGAGTATTATATATAATTTTACAAAGATAATAAAGCGGTTAGTAAAATTCATGAGTGCGTATAGTATTTCTCTAAAAAGTAATAAAGAAAAGTACATATGAATGAGTTATAAGACAGAGGTGCTTGCTTTGTAACTTAGAAAATTCCTGAAGCAAAGAATATCTTCCAAACTTTGCGTGATTTAATCATGACAGTGTCATTTTCATCTCCATTTTTTTTTTTTTTTTATGTCGTATTGGTAATGTTTAGTATCGTATTGAGATTGATTTTTTGAAAAATAATATATCTTGATATTTTTCTTATTATATTTAGATAAATTTGATGCACTGAAACATAAAATACTGAATTGATAAGTAAATTTGTTGTATGGTAATCAGTAAGTAGAGCATATCAAAATTTATGATAAAATAATATACTAGAAAGAATGCTTGACACACTCAATACACTAGAGGAGTGTTTGACATATTCCATGTAATGGATATTCATATGGTAATTGAGTATATCGAGAATTTCTATTTAATATTGAATATGATGTCTAAATATGATAATTCAATCCATTTAACTGTAAGTATGATTAACTGTATAATGATTTCTTAAAGTGAGACTTTAAAAAAAAAAAAAAAAAAAGCCCTCAATATATGATAATTTCAAGAATTACCCATAAACTTATACTGATAAAATATATTATACTCAAGTTCTAAATAAGTGCATAGACAACTCTAAATATGGTATTGAAATTGTTGTATGAGACTATATAGTTAAAGAGGGTAACTTAATTAAGCCCTATTTTATAAGCTTCTTAATTTTCTTTTCTGCTTTCAAAATGTGATCCTAAATTTTTTATAGGAGATCCATTAAGTTAGTTTATAAATTAATTGACTTGTTCATTGCAAGATGGCATTTACTTAGAACAATTATTAATTAAGGATAAGACTTAATTTTGGGTTGCAATTCGTTATTAAATAAATTACCATTATTTAATGCAATTAGTAACTTCTATTTTTATTTGGAATTTCTCCTTCTTTGTAAATGAGAGAAATTTTTTTAAAGTATTAACAAATTATAGTTATTTATATTTGTAGATAATTAGTTTGTAAAATTATCATTCGTCGCTATAATTTAGACCAAATGGGTTTTGTTGTCATAATAAATTAACCAGTTTATTCCTGTAAGTGGGCTGCGGTCTGGCCGACACCTTTGGGCCATAAGCCGATGAATCAGGCCCTCTTTAAACCCAAATATTAAAAGAACATTTATTATTATTATTTTAAGCAAACATTGGGAGACTGGAGACCTAAGGCACTATTATATTAAATAGTAGAATGATGAATACATAAAACTGCTTACAAGGGAATAAAAATAATAAGACGTGCCTCAACCTTGAAATAATCACCTCACACTGTTTAGTAGAAAAGTAAATGACTCTGCCACACTATAGGAGATGAAATTAACACCTCATACAAGTTTATTCACTAAAGGAAGAACTTCAGTGGCTGCTATTGCCAGAGTGACATCCTGAATTATTTATTTCGGGTTATGAGAATGTTTGGTCTATAAGTGGAATTGAAAATTTCAACCAAGAAAGGAAATTGGAACCTGGCAAATAAGATCACTAGGGGGCATCCGAATACCGAAATCGGAATGACAGTCCAAATCCATGAATGAGAAACAAATGTGTAAATGGATGCACCAAATGCTACCATCAGGCTTGCAACAGAAATGAATAGCGTGATGAGGCCGATGATTAACTTCGTTGGCAATGACACCAAAAAGTCATTTTCTGAGTAACATGAAGTGTGGATTGACAAGAACATCACCAGTGAAACCGCAGAAAAAAAGAATGCAAGCACATCTGATGTGATAAAGACTATGAAAGTTGTGCCATGCAAGAAATTGAGTATCCAATCATTGTTGTTGCGATGTAAGTTGATAATTGCTCCAAAAGTTGCTATTATTATCAGTGCGGCCACAACACTCTCTAATGTAGCGTTTCTCTTCATCCATTTTTCACCTTGTTTAACCAATTCTTTGTGTGCTTCGGTAAAGACTTCTCTAGGAGTTTTATTATTCTCGTTTTGTTGCTCTTGAAGGGATGGATGGACATAGCTTTCCAAGGCCTGAAGATAAAACTTCAGCTAGCGTAAGCATGAGCAGTTATAAATTTGATTGTCAAACAAAAATCTCTAATATTATAGAAGAACTAAATGTTAATAAAAAAATTATTACGAGGCCAGAAAAAATAAAGGAAACTTTCGAATTAAAATAAAAATCATATATAGGCCAGATTTCGAAATCTGTTCCACATGAAATTATAAATTTATAATCCTATATGAGAAATGAAAGTACCGAAGTTTGATGTAAGATCAAGGCATCTAGCGGCAAGAATAAGATTCCAATAAAATAATCGTTTGAAGTAATAGTTAAGATGATAAATAAGTTGTATAATTTTTTTTTTTTTTTTTTTTGCAGGATTATATATTCACCTTGAACCATTGTACTTCTCTCTGCATTTGGAATACTGCACCAGAGACCTGACTTGAAGCTGTCGACTGTCCAGCCAAATGCAGAATGTTATCAGTTTTTCCACCTTTGTTGATCGCTTTCCAGCTTGGTAGATACACATTCCTTTCTTTTACAATTTTAAAAATCTCTTCTTGGCGATGTAAAATTGCCATATGAAGTAGACCGTGACCATTATCTTTGTAGCGGTACGTATAAGCATGGAAATAAGCATTCAAAATTTCATTGACAATCTCGCCAATCCCATGTTTTGCAGCTTCAAGAAATGGCGACCAGAAAGTTTCAAAGGCCTCTCTACGATTCCACGTAACTTCATTACCATGACACAAGATTCTAACAATTTTAAAGGCTTGTATATGTGTCAACTTCGTGTCGCGAATGTTTTTGATGCCTGGGACTGCAGTTGAACAACTCAAGTCAATGAAACAAGATAAAGAATTCCTTCAAGATACTTCATTTAATTAAGAGAATTGGTCAATGCCAATTACCTAACAGCATGAGGACATGCCAGATCATTTGGCGCAAAGCACCTGTGTTATAACAAATAAGTAGTATTATAAATTGTTTTGGTTTGTAGGATAATCAATTTCAGAAGACTACTTCTTTAGCATATAGATAGATAGATAGGAGGTGTACAAACCAAATGAAGCATAGATCATTCCAGGAATAGGTCCATTGTTACTTTCATTGTGAGGAACATATTCCTCTTGCAGAGGAATCCCTGCAGAGACAGGCAACAACAACAAGAGCATGTGAATACAAGAGATGGGTTTGTTAGAGTCTATAAGGCATGAGAATAAATTGTTACTAACAATCATAGATCAAGCGTCTCCAAAACCCCAGCCGACTCCTCGCACCTTCAAAAGCCGGAGGCTTACCAGCCAATATTGTTAATATACTTTTTCTGTCTGAATTCTTTTCAAGAGCTAACTTTGGATATCGCTTCCATATATCTAACGCTATACCTGTGAACGGTAACCTTGAAGGATACAAATTCCAGATTTGGTGTAGAAGGATACAAATTCCAGATTTGAAGAATGGTAAATTAACGAGGCCCTTCAGGAGCCTTTGAGTGCTCGAGGGATGCTCTATGCATGCTAACTCATAAATACAAGTTGACCATGTGTAATGCAAGAGGATATGAAACGGATATTAATTATAAGGTACTAATTGAATCCACATGAAGTTCGATCTTCTCCTTATCTCAATTTACCTTAAGAAGTTTTGATTTATTTTAGAGAGAAAATCAAAATGAGGATACATCTTTTTAAAGGGACATAAGTTTTAAAAAAGACAAAAAAAAAAAAAAAAAAAATTGAGTAATGGTACGGAGAAATCAATTATACTCTCCTTAATTCTCTTTTGCAAATATTGACCATTATGATATTGTTTCAAAATATACAAAATAACCATTCATCCATTTTCAATCAATAAAATTCCAAGTATAAAACTATTTAAATCAATTGATTTTACTTTAATTTGGTAATTATGTTGTATTCTAGCATGTCCAATAACTCCCTTTTTTTTTGGGTAAGACATTTATATAAATAATATAATCTCTTCTATACAGATTTTGAGATTTTATATTTAATTATGTGATGTACTACATAGATCAAATTAACATTGGTTTTTGGTAAAAATTATTACTTTTTTTGATAAGGAATTTAACATGTTTGTTACACAATAAGCCTAAGCCAATGACATCTTTCATTATACATATAGACGATTATCAAAGTCTACAAAAAAAAAAAAAAAAAAATTTATACCTGTATGGTCAGGATATATTCTTTGATTATATTACATGTTGATTATTAATCACAAATTAAATTGACTAAAATAAAAATCCATATCAAGTAATAATCATAATTTTATTTTTTTGTGAGGTAAGACTAATGACATATTCCCTTATCATTTCATTCTTTTCTTTGTTTTTTTAATAAAAGTTTTATCCGTATTATCGATGTTTTCTTAATAATAATAATAATAATAATGTGATAATTACATTATCTAACCATATTGCAAACAAGAAAATTACTTTTGCACTTACCATAGAGATCGGAATTGATCAGATCTCTAATAAGTTCAACACCTTTATTGTCATCCAAACGTGCTGTTGTTTTTGACAGAAGATATTGAATTATTCCCTTGTAGCCACATTCTGCTGCTGTATGAATTGGAAGATAACCATATTCGTTCCTTATGTTTGGAAATTCTGTGTGCCTAAAGACATAAGCTTTTACAGCCTTTCTATTGCCATACATAACAGCATGGAATATAACGGATCCGCCAATCTTTCCTCTCAAATTTTGAAGTTCTTCTACACTGATCTTGAATGCAAGCTTCTTTATAAGCCAAGTTGGGGCACCTGATATATTAATTATGTGAAAAATGGTATCCCCGTATTCTGAAACAGTTGCAGTCAAAGCCCCAGGAGTGATATCTACCAAATCTTGTAAAAGTATCCAATTACGCTCTTGTACAGCCTTGATTAATGGCCTGAACCGAGCATTAATATCTGTTATCACCCCGGTCGTTTTGTTCTCTGTCAATTCCAAATAATATAGATGTCAAAATGTATGTAAAGGACTTTAAAATTTATTATGAAAGGCTCGAAATTTCAATTTCAATTTTTATCCGAGTCACATACCTTCCAATACTGATTCATCACTCTTTTGACTTTTCAAATTTATTATAAGTACTATCTACCCCTGATGATTCATAAGTTTGACTCTCATACATTTTAGCTGTTATTTCATCGGTATAGGCTTGCTTTATTCGGGTGATTTCATCTCCCTTTTCACTAACTGAATAACTGGATGGTTGAACATGATCACCTTTTGTACTCATTCCATCAACTGTTAATTCAAATTATGCACACGTGAGAAGAAGAAATGTGAGGTATAGAAGTACTATCTATAAAGTCTTTTAACTTACCTTCCTCTTTCAGAATTGATTCATCACTCTTTTGACTTTCCAACTTTTTTGTTTCTTCATCGGGATCAGCTTGCTCCATTTGAGTGGTTTTGGTTCCCTTTCTGCTAACTGGGTTACTGGATGGTTGAACAGGATCGCCTTCTTTACTCTTTCTGTTCACTATTAATTCAAAAATATGCACACATGAGAAATTTTTTGAGGTAAAAGTATTATCTACATAGTTATTAACTTACCTTTCCCTTTCAACACTGATTCATCACTCTTGCGACTATTTCCGTTCACTATTAATTTCAAATATATTATGTACACATGATAATATGTATGAGGTAGAAGTACGATGTATCTATGTATCTATCAACATATAATATTAGTTATTGAAAGATCTGATGAATACTATGCAACATGTCACTTAATATGATCTGCATCTTTTACTTACCTTTCCCTGTCCCAGATTCATGAGCATTCTTTTCGCATTCCAATTTCGTCGTTTCTTTATCGGAATCAACTTGCATTGTCTCAGTGATTTTGACTCCGGAGTTGGAAGATTGCGTCACTCTTTTTTTTCTTCCAAATCTGTGGTTTCTTTGTGGATCCATTACTGCTTATCAACTTCTTCCGCTTTTATCAAAAGGACAAATACGTTGACAATCAAAATATAAGATTCAAGACTCAAGGAGGAAGTGATATGATTCAAGAAACAGAGAAGAAGACTGCAATTTCATTTCATTCAACTGTCAAATATTCAGCTTACTAAAAAAGACTCACATCTGTGTATTTAACTAAAGTCTTTAAACTCTACTGACCAGTTAATTAACTGGAGCTGAGTTAACAAACTAAAGAGTTAATTAACTAAACTGAGTAACAGTAACTAACTATTCTCCAACATGCTACAGTATTGCTATAGTAAAATGCGGCAAATTCAGTCAAACGATGCGGCTGCAGTAGGTTCAACTTCAAACAGCGACAACCTTAATTTCAAAATGCATTTTTGACAAACGGGAAAAGTAATGGACATTGGACAATAAGCTTTTTGACATTTCTTAGAAAGAGAAAATGTTAATAAATTGAAAGAAAATTAATCAAGTTTGAATGACATAAGCTTTTTGACAAACAGGAAAAGTGATGGACAAACCAAATAAAGCTAGTCAAAAGTTAGAAGAGTAAAACTAGACCCGGTCAAGGACCAGTCCCAAGCGGTCCGTTTGGGACTGATCCCATTATGGGTTTGGGATCGTCCCAGGCCCATGAGTAATATTAGGACCCAAATCGATCTTTAGGATTGATCTTATAGGCCTAGATAATTTTTTGTTTCCTGATCTTTTTTATATTTTAGGGCGAAATAAAATTTTATAGGAGGTTTTTAGTATTTTTCAAGGGTATATTAGTAAGTTTTTAAAAATTTAATTAATTTAAAAAAATAATAAATTAACAAATAAATTAATAGTTATTTTTAATTTTTAACATAAATGTAATATTCACATTTCACATATTCACACTTCACAAATAAATAATTAAATAAATTTTTTAATTAAATTATTCATCTTCATCGTCACATCATTCAAATCTGTATTCCTAAAGAGTTCAAGTAGTTCGGGATCTGCAAGGTGCTGTTGTAGTCTTCTTTCTATATGAGTCCAATCTCGTAAACATGTTATCACTTCAATCATCTCATCGATTAAAGAACATCTTCTATCTTCAACAATCCGACTACTTGTTGAAAATGTTGACTCGAATGCAATTGTAGAAACCGGCACAGATAAAATGTCATGTGTCATTTGGGCTACAATGGGAATCGACTTTCATGTTGGTTCCACCATTGAAGAATATCCATGTTATGTTGCTCCTTCATCGTCATAAAGGACAGATCCACTTGCAGGTAGCGATTCAGCTCATTTGGTCTATGTATGTATGAGTTGGAGCTGCTTCTTCCGCCACGTTCCACATACGTCCACTTGCTCGATCCTTGACGGAGGGCTGCATCAAGGTCATGATTCGCTCTCCTGAACGTTCCACTTCTACTTCCACTTCCCTTGTATCTGTTCTCATATAAAGAAAAAAGACTATCCAATTTTTATCTAAAGTCAGTCAAATAAGACGTATCAAAAGATTGTCGCGGTGTTAGCAGTTGGAATATCAAGCGTTAGTGCTACAACTCTATCAGTTAATAAATATTCTTGCAAAACTTCAAGAATTGTAAAATAAATAGTTTCAGCACTATGTTTTTCATATAATAATTTAAAACCCATCAATTTTTATTGTAAACCCCAATTATGATCTAAGAAATGTACTGTGACAGTTAAAAAATAGGTTTTTGATCTACAAGCTCATATGTCTGATGTAAGTGCAATAGATATATTCCTCAAATTTTGAAATTCGTTTTTAAGTTTATTATTTATTTTGTTATAAAGTTTTAGTATATCTCTTCTACTTGTACTTCTACTAACAGGGGTATATGCTGGACAAAATGCAGTTTTAATCATGTGAATAAAATAAGGATTTTCAAATAAACAAATGGGAGACTCCGTAGCAACCATGAATCTTGTTATTTCCTCTCATGCAACATGTACATTGTATTGCCATGTTAAGAGAGTTAAGGATTGTGGATCAAAATTAAGTTGAGTTTGAATTTGTCTACCTGATCCGGTTGAAGATGTACCAGGCGACTGCATTATTTGGGGGTGCTTCTTCTCCACGTGCCGTCGCATCGTCGAAGTCCACTTCTCAGCGCTAATAATGGTTCCACAAAAATTACATATCCCACATGATTCTTCCCCACCCCATTTGTCTTTGGCCATTTTATTTGGTGAAGTGTCGTCATACATCAGACATGACCATCTTTGACAGTCGGGAGGGTTAGGCTATGCCCGTGCCCGTTGACTCGCAACTCGCATGTATTTGGCTACACCTTATCCGACCAAATGTGGTTGTGGAATTGTGGCTGCTGCCTCTGGAGGAAAGGGTGAAAATGGATTGAAACCTTCAATTTCTTCAGTGGATGGAACGTAAAACTCATTTAGGGATGATCCTCCAAATGCATCATTTCGGGAATCTATTATGAATTTATGATAAAATAATAAATAATTAAAATGAAAAGAAATTAAATAATAATATGAATAAGAGATGATATTGAAAAATATAAAAAATTGAATAATATAAATAAATAATATGAATAAATTATAAATATAAATATAAATTGAATTAGAATTTGATTGGAGATTTGGAGTAGAGAGATTGAGTGGTGTGGAAAAAATGAAAGATTTTAGGGTGTTTATACTGTAATTGTTGTTTTTTTTTTTTTGGTGGGGGGGGGGGGGGGGGGGGGGGAATGGGGAATGAAAAAAAAAAAACCTTCCTACCCCCACCCCCCCAAATGACCGTTGGCTATAGCCAACGATCATGTAAATTGTAAACGTTGGCTGTTAGCCAATATAACCCTTGGCTGCTGCAACGGTTATAAAAAAAGTAAATTTTTTTTTTTTTTTATAAAATATCATTTTAACTCCTATAATTTATGTTTATTTAAAATTTATAGAAGGATTTTCGTAATTTTATAAAGGACTGAAAGGAAAAATGTAAAAAAAATTGGGCCTAGGCCCGGGCCTTGGAGGAGGGCCCAATGGAGGGACCGAGCCCTCCTCCTTAGGTCTGGTCCTGTTTTGGCACCAAGCCTCCTAGGACCAGGTTTTTAGACCTAATCCCAGATGCCTACCTCTAGTAAAACCAGCTTTACACCACCTTCTGGCACCATTCTCTCACATCATGGCATAGCTAACATAGCAAATGTCATCTCATCTGCTACCTCACCAAACTGCCAGTCACTTCCCCCCAAAACTATAAAAAAAAAAAAAAAAAAATCAAAATACCCTAAAATTTGAAATCTACACTTTCCTTCAAACAAATCAAATCAATTTCAATTTCCCTAAAATAGGGACCAAAAAAAAAAAAAAAAATTCTCCCCAAATTTTCTTTCAATTTTCAAAACGCTAGCCACTACATTCTCCAATCTTAGCCGCTGCTGTAGCCGCCACCATAGTCGCACTAGGTCGTCACCATCCACCATCCCAAACGCCCTTCACTCTACTGACAGAAGGTAGTATTTCAATTAACTCTACCGACACTCGTGATTTGTGTTTTGTTTGCATGTCGATCCTAAGGGCCACTCTTGGAGGGTCTGTCATTTATTAATAATGGAGTCAATTTGTTTGTCCTGCAAAAGTTATTTAAGGGTTAACAGTTGGAGTTCTTATGTCCAGGAGGCCAGCTTAGAGGCGAATAACCACCCCAAAAAAAGAGACCGATACATGCAAGATTCAGTTTGGTGTTTCTGATGGTTTGATTTTTTTCTTGAAATATTATTATTCCATGTCTTATCTTGTGTCTCTTCAGCCAAACAAATGGTGGCACCTTGTCATTTTCATTTTACAAATGGACTGAGTCATATCGGAATAATTGTAGGGATGACAAATTTAAAGTGTAAGCGTTAGTGTTGATGAGTTAAGAGTGTTGCCTTTTCCCGTTTGCTTTTGTTTTGTTTGCACATCTCAATGTATATGGAAAGAAGCTTGTGCTTTTATCTTTTATTTTCTTTCTGTTATGAAGTTCTCCAAAATTTCACTAGTCTATTGTGTATATGTGCATTGCCCATTGACGCTTCCATTTTTTGTTTTGCATTGTTTTTCCAATTATAATTGTTATTTTTCATTCCCTTTTATGAAGATATTTATTTGTTTTGTTTCTTCTTTTTCAGTGGTACTCTTAAATCACTATTGTCCCGTAGGAGAAGAAAACATGCGCTTCTTGCCAAACAATGGAAGAGTTTATTTACACCAATGGAAGACTTATTGAAGGTGGTGTCAAGTTTCTGAAGAAAGTCTGTACTGGGGTATGTTATTAAAAATTTGATCAGACTTATATGTCGACTTATTCATTCCATATAATTTTCAATTGTGGCCACTTTGTTTTATCATTCTCTCTCTCACATTGTTGTGAGTATTTGTTCTTCATTCTGCAATGCAGGGTGTTGATCCAAGTATTAGAGTAGAGGTCTGGCCATTCCTCCTTGAGTATAAGAATCTTCTTTCATGTTTAAGCTTATGTATTGGTTTTTAACCTTAACCATGCATGTGATACATTTATTAGTTTGATTTAGATATAATTCTCTCTCTCTCTCTCTCTCTCTCTCTCTCTCTCTCTCTCTCTCTCTCTCTCTCTCTCTCTCTCCGTCGCTATATATATAGATAGATATATATATATTATTATATCTATAATATATTCCTGAACAGTTTCAGTCAAGGCCCCAGGAGTGCTATCTACCAAATCTTGTAAAAGTATCCAATTACGCTCTTATACAGCCTTGATTAATGGCTTGAACTGGACATTAACATCTATTATCACCTCGGTCGTTTTGTTCTCTGGCAATTCCAAATAATGTAGATGTGAAAATATATATGTAAAGGACTTTAAAATTTATTATGAAATGCATGAAATTTCAATTTTATCCGAGTCACATACCTTTCCCTTCCAATACTGACTGTTCACTTTCAGTTTTCTCAGTAAGATCATCTTGCTTTGTTCTACGAGTGGTTTCGTGTCCTTTTTTGCTAATCGAGTTATTGGATGGTTGAACATTATCAGCTCCTGTACACTTTCCGTTTACCATTAGTTCCAAATTATGTACACATGAGAAAAAAATATGATGTATAAGTACTATCTATATCGTTTTTTAC